TACAGTTTTTAAAACGTTTCAGAGACTGAGGACACCAAGAAACCTAGATCAACTCCAAAAAGAGACAAGCCCATTTTGAAAGAGAAGAGATTCCCAGCTGCTACCACCCTTTACTGAAATTGGACAAAAATGCTGACAAGGGTTAAAGAGAGACCGGTCCACATACAATAGTCCTTTTTCTTCTGATCACATGTTATCTCCATTCACCTGTGCAAGGTCAGGCCTTTCCCCCTCCCCATTTTATGTTTTTGTCGTCACAATTATCCCTTTTCATGCTGCGTATTTGTTTGCAAATTGCAAAAGGTACAGTCTTCTTTTTTTATTTAAATGTTTTTCCTCCTTTAATCTTTATGTTATAATTGAGTGTTTAATAACTATTCTGAAATAGAGTTGCAATTTCCTGCTTCTGTCCCCTGTTTATTATCTTACAGTTTTGTATCCTTTCATCTTTTTGTTTCAGGTAGAAGAACTCCTTTCAACATTTCTCATAATGCAGGTCTCATGGTGGAAAATTTCCCTCAGCTTTCGTTTGTCTAGGAAAGCCTTTACTTATATAATGTGATTAACCAAGGTTACCCCAATACATTTTATTTTAAAAAGACAGGGAAACCAGTCTTACTAGCTTCCATGTTCTTACACCATACACCATAACTTCAATAATTTTAGCTGGAAGATATTTTTTGGGGGAAGTGGGGGGAGCGGGGAGGGGTGATGATTATTTATTCATCTTGGAACAAAGTTAGATTCACACTATTAAATTAGCCTCATCTTTCACGCTGAGGTCTATAGTCCAAATCAGGAACCGTTTTAAAACAGGTGCACCAAGCACTTGTCTTCATCCATGGAGCATGCTGTCTGCTGGAGCTGGTTGGAGCTCCACACGTACCGCTTCAGCGTTCTCTGGCCAATGCCCCACTGGCAGGATCTCTTGGCCTTTTGAAATGACAGACGCCAGCTGCTGTGTTCACATGTGCGCATGTGCAGCAGCCAGGAGCACCAGGCAATTAATACCCACCGCTCACCCCGGCAGTTCTCAAGCAATAATTTTGGGGAGTAGATGTTGAAATGCTTTCGCTCTCTCGGCACTGGAGTGGAATGACTGTGAGGGATGTGTTTTAGACGAGATTAAGCTCTAGCTGCCCGTTCCATAATGGCTGGTGTAGGAGGTCAAGCACGTAATCCCCAAATATGCCACTCTGGCATACTGATTATTTTGAGTTAAAGGCCCTGAAAAATAGCAGATGCAAGGAGGGCACTCTGACCTTCCTTTTTCTTCCTGAAAGCAGGAGATAAGACACCCATGCGAAAGGCATACTCCCTGTACCAGGGATAAGAAAGACATTCTTATCACCAGAGACGGGGCATCAAGGCCGAGGGAAATCTGTACAAACAAACCTTGTTAAACTGACCTTTATTCACTTTTCCACAATTAACTGCCCTTGCCCAAACCCCTTTGTCTTGCCACATTTTCACAATTTATGGCTCTAACTGCTTCTTTGGGTCTTCACTTTTCTTCTGAAGATTCCCGTGCACACCTATAAATTACCAAGTAAAAATTGTATACTTTTCCCCTGCTCACCTGTCTTATGTTAATCTTCTCAGGCCAAACTGGAGACCCGAAGAGGGCAGAGGAGAAATTTTACCTCCCCTACACTGGCCTAATCACATACTCTTTATAGGCTGTGTTTACATGCCCACCTCCCATCACCACTCCACACCAGGGTTCTCTGTGCCTCCTAAAAAACTACTTGCACTCAGGAAAGGAAAAAGACATCTAAATGAAAGAAGAGTGCAAAATATATTGTAAAAAAAGGGGGGGAAAAAACGACAGGTGACAGAATGAACCACTTACAGACAGACCCCTGATCGTGCTAACTCTGGACTTTCTACTATTCATCAAAGCTTTTGCAATGTCAAAGCGCTAGAGTGAAGTAAACAGGGGAGTTCAAATATAAAATTAATCCTACACCCCAGACATTCTGTTTTAAGCCTTTGGGCAGCTATGTTACATGGAGCTCTATTGGTGACAATTTCTAGAAGCCAGTCAGAGTTAGCTTCAGCACAACCCTGTGGTCCTTAAGAACAGAACCAGTGATGGGATAGTAAACAGACTTAGGAAGTCTCTGCCTCCATCTTCCCCCTGTGTTTCTGCTTCATCTTTCCCTCTTTTTCTGTTTCTCAGTCCATGTGGCTCCCACCAGCACTGCACGAGATTACATAGATTTGCCAGTAGCCCAGGGATGGGAGACTGGTTTTCTTTTTCTGCTTTCTCTGCTCTCTTTTTTCTCCCCCACTAGCCTCTTCCAAAATTTCCAGGAAAAAAAAAATTGGTCCTGCTTGAGTCAGGTACCTATGCCAGGACCATCTAAATGTGGAGAGAAAGAAATGTCACATGGTAGAAAAATGGCAGTACTCTGCAATCCAACATAATGGGGGAAAGGGACATTCCCAGAGAATGGATATTGGTAAACGACACAATAGAATCAACCCTGTGTGAGTCATAGATGTGCTTGAGAAACTGAGGAAAACACTGGACCTTATTTACAGCAATACATACGTACAGAGAAACACCAAACTGCACACAATTGACAGTGTTCATGAAAACCCTATAATCCGTTCTTAGAGCCTAATTTTAAAGTTCTCGATAGCCACCTAGATATTCCTAATGTTTCAAATTTTTAAAATATGGCTCTAAAATTTTTCAAATTCTAAATACTGAATATGAAATTGCACTCAAAGGTTTTTTAACCACAACAAATACACATAATAAAATGTTAAGTCTCTCGGCGGAATATAACATTTAAGAAGTCTATACGTAATGGCATGGTCTATATAGAAGGGATGAACAATCTGATATCAAAGGGTATCTACTGTCATCAAGTGAGACAACATGGCCGCCCCTCAAATTGTTTTTACTACAGTTAAAATCCTTTTCTATATCATGTGCCCAAACATGAGCAAACATTTGAGATGTACCCATCCCCTCACCCATTCAAATCATGACATGTGAAATTACCTCATAAAGAAATGTGTAAAGTGAATCAAATAATTATTGGGTCATCGGGAAAGTCAGGACGCATTTTGGCATTGAAAAACATAGAAAAATACGTCATGACTTTCCAGACGACCCAATAGTAAGACCTAGTCCATTGCTATTCGTAATGGCCTAGAAAGAAAAAAAACTATACATGGCTCAATCCAAAGTTTCTATTCAAAATACATGGCTATTATTGCAAATAATTTTACTCAAAACAAGCAAAATCAAACACAGACAAGAGACATGAGCTAGGGGAATAAAATCAGAAGTAAATATTATACCTCAAATCTACTGTGCAACAGGTGAGATATAAATAAAAAATTATATGAAAGTAGTCAGAAAACCTATACACTTCACTTATGATTAGGAAGCAGTCAATAATATTAGTCGTATTAACCTCTGAGTGTGTATAATGGAAGGAAACGGCCACATTCGACCACAAAATGTACTTACGTTACAGGAAAAGAGGATAACAGAATACAAAGAACAATGGTTTCACAGAGAATTATATTCCGCATGTGTTACTTAATCATATATAAAAAGGTCTTATAAATGCAGTATTATATCCATGCATTTTGATTCTATAATATGTCTTTCTGAGTTTCATATACAAAAACATGAAAATTTAAAGTATTATTTTAATGATATATTTTCTAGGTAACCTCCAAAAGAGAATCCAATTTTCTGAATATCTGCATATATAAACTTGATAAAGCTAGAATGATGAAACACCATTGAGCCTAATTACATACAATTAACTCTAAAGTAAAGATATTCCTACACCATACAGGAAATTTTTATATTAACAGTTGGAAAAAGTAAGACATTATATGAAGTAAAAAACTTATTTTTAAACAGTCACTGCTACATTGGTGCCATTTTTATAAAGGCTATTGAACATATATATGTAGGTCAGCATATAATGTGTAAAAATTAATGTTACTATGTGTTCATCAAGCAATTTCTGTACTTGAAAAACTTTGGAGAAAGTTTTTTTTAAATCATAAGGAAATATTATCGACTCATTCATGGACTTAACATGAATAGTTTTTAACATTCTCATGTGTCCATGAAATTCCATGACAGGTAGTAATTTGTAATTTTGGTTGTGACGCATTTCACTTAGATACACTAAAAGTCTAGCTGGTGTTCCTGAAACAGTTATTAAATAAAAACAACCCCAGGCAATGTGACATCTGTATTTTTCTCTGCTCATTCTTGAATGCAAAGTAACTTTCACGTAATACCTGAAACACAAGGGTTTTTTTTTTTTAATTTTTAAATCATACTTCACTTTTTTTAAAAATATGGGAAATGACATACGACAGTGGAATTTGCAAATGTGTAGATTCACAAAGTAAGGTCTCATGTTGGCCCCCATAATAAAGTCACAGGGTTTAATGGTGGCCCAGGAGAATGAAGAATTTGGTATCGTCTTTAGGTGCATCACAATCTAATAGAATGTTCAGGAAGCAGAACTGACTATTAATCGTAGGACCAAACTTAAATTCTACCACCACATTCTAGTATGATTTCTTATCAAATCAGAGTTAATGCCCATCAATTACCTCACCAGAGAACAAGAGAAAACACTGTATGTACCTGCCTTTTGGATACTAAAATGATTTCTATTGCACATAACGGTTCATCTAAATTCTCTGATGTGAGATTCAGAAGTGAAGTAACTTTCTGTACAAATAACTCACCAGGGCAGTGATCTGAAACGCCATGCCCAACTGCAGGAATTGCAGCTCAAAAACATAAATGCCTTCTTCTATATTTGTAGCAGGGGAAAGATTCCTTGTCACATTTCCTCTACATTTCTTAGTTACATCTTCAAACCAATGGACAATCGAATACTTACAAATATATCCCAAGCCCGCTGCCTAGACAGACAGTGAGAAATAGGAATAAAAACAGATTTCTGATAGACAAACTACTGTGTGCTACAGATTATGGTTACCTGGAGGTAGGAATTGCAGTTGGTTATTAGCTAACCGAAGATGACGTAAAGCTCTCAGACGACCAATTTCTGGGCAAACAATTTCTAAGGCATTGTCACTAAGGTCCAAGCACTGGAGTTTTACAAGGGACCCAATGGCTTCAAAGAGAAGAGAAGGGGAAAGGCAAAATTAAAATGATATGCGACATCTTTAATGCAAGTAACTCCAAGTTAAAATACTTCAGTACTTAATATCACCGTCTCGGTGGCTCACAAAATCATAAAAACATAGATCGACCCAAATTTTATAGCAGCGATAAGACTTCTAACTTGATATAAAATGTAACTTAAAATAGAACAAAAATAAAAATTTGAAAACACTGCAAAATATTGCTTGAATAAATAAATAATTCATGAAATGATATATAAGGCCTTTTCTAATCTAACCAAAATTCTTAACTGGTTTTACTGAATTTAGAATTTATTCTATTATTTACCCAACAACAGTATATCTAATAATAATTTACCTAATCATTATAACCATTCTGGACTTATTTACTTAAACATAATTCTTAACTAGGCTTACTAAGTAGGGGGTAAAAGCTTTGAAACTAATAAATTAAAGAACTTATAATTAAAACTCACTAATACACCAACCAAAATAGGTTTAAAGGGACTATATGTTCTACTATCATCAGGCAAAGCTTAAACTATCATTCATGTCCCCTAAATAAATACCGGAAGTGCACTTACCTTCCGGTACCACAACTATGTTATTTGAGTGTAGGTACCTGGGGGAAAAGACAGGGGGAAAAAAAGCTGTTATCATTCAGTACTTTTGCTACATAATCAGTTCGTAAAATGCTCACTTAGAAATTTATCAAATATGAAGGGATCAAACTTTCACACTCTACCCTAAGTACATAACACAAAATATATGGTAATCACAGATAACGAATAATACTTTGAAAATAATATTTGATGCTGGAATTGCAAATATTAAAACTATTTACTGATTGAGTTACTATTTTAAAATTAAAGAATGCACAATAGAAAAATTATGAGGTTTTTTCAACCTCATAAAATAAGTTACTAATTTCTTCATTTTTAATTATTCAGGTTTTCAGAAATACAGAAATTGTGTAAAGAAAAATCAACACCTACTGTGTAAAGGAAAATGCAACTTTTAGTTTCTGAAGAATAACTTCACAAAATAACCAAACCAAAGATATTCCCAGCCGACATGCTTACTGAGAACCAAAAATTCTGGAGAGATTAAATACTCATCATTTACAGTCTCTGTATAAATACTCAACTGTCAAGGTACAGAATTTATTTATTTCACAGCAAAAGGAATTTCATGAACAAGAGTCAAATTCTTTTCTTAAAAAAAACACAACATCTCGTCAGGGCTGACAAGTCCAGGCAAGCCTAAGTAAATAACGCTTTCCCACTGAAGTATCTTTAGCACACTCTGGTGGAGATTTTGTGAAATCAGAGGCAGCCAACTCTTCAGAGCAAAATGATAGTAACCACTGGAAATCATATAGTAATAATTTTTAAAAATAAATTTATATCATTGATTTTGAGACAAGAAAAGTAGGTTTCGATAAACTATTTTCAAACCTATCATTTTACATATTATCCCTCACAAATCAATCTTCATAAAGTATTTTTAAATAGAATTTTGAAATTTTCTTCTACATGTTTAAGTCTAACGTGAAATGCTAAAATGTCAATGACAAAGAATAAGGAAGACAGAAAATTAATAGATTTAAGAAGATTATTCTATGCTGGATTCAATCAATTTTGTAGTAGGTATTAACATGCTGGGTCTAACACAATTTAAATGATTATACCATTCCATGATATAGTTTATTCTTTGTTGTGTATATGAAATGATTTTACATTTTAAAATCAATACTCTTTAAACATTAATTTTAGGAAGAAATACCTAACTACTTTATCAGATGACTCTGTGCCAAAACACTAAATGTTATTAAAAAAGAAACAGGCCCAAAATGGAGTCACTTGTGCTAAGTCCATGTCACCAAGCCCAAACTGAGACTCAGTGTCTAACCTAATTGCAGTTTCAGCCTCTCCCAGGAACAGAGCCTTAACCAGTCAGTCTGGAACTTCCTGGTCAGCACTAATGAGATCATCTGCCTGACAGACCCCTGGCGACCCCTCCAAGGAAGGTGACCGTTCCTGAAACAATCCATTCTTTGCTAAATACCTTCCTTGTCCCATCCTCTTTCTGCCTTTAAAAGTCTTTCCTTTTCTACAGCTCTCCAGAGTTCCTTTCTGTATGCTAGATTGGATGCATGAATTTTTGAATAAGGCCAATTTGAGCTTTAAATGTACTTAGTTGAATTTTTTTTAACAATATACATAAGTGTGAGCACACGTGTGCAAACACACACACACACACACACACTTGCATTTGTTACACAAAAGCCAGAGTACCTAGACACCAAAATAAAGAGCAAACTGATTTTTTAAATTCCACAAAATATCTGCCTCAAGTTCTACCTATAAAAAAGGACGACCTTCAACTGTCTATATCAAAATGTGAACTCAAGTAGTCCCAATTATGACTGAGATCAGAAAGTGTATTTTATCATATTAAATGTATCTACATTATAATGAAGACACAGTCTATAGTAGGACAGACTGTCCCCAATCCTGGATACCTATGAGAATCACAAGGGGTCTTCAAAATATTGGCGCCCAACACCATCCCGTACCAAGTGAAACATTGTCACAACTTGAGTTATCCCGATGTGCAACTGATTAGGAATCACTGTTGTTATAAAGTGGATCAGAGGGCAGCCTCTGGAACCACCTTAATAGCCACATGACTAGGGGGGCAATTCCGAACCTCTCACTTTCCTAATCTATAGAAGCAGATGGTAATAGCACCAACTATAACATGGGGACATTGTAAGCATTAAATGAATTTACAAATGCTAAGTTCTCAGAACAGAGTTCATTGAGTGCTGCTGTTCTTGTTGTCATAGTGGTACTGTTATCACAAGTCATTCGTAATCATAAGTTTAGCGATTTTCAGTCATTTCTTTCTCCTTAGATTTTGTAGAGTATCTGAAATGTTGGTGTTTCAATGTAACTAATTTTCATCACGTTCCTCTCACATAATGCAGGAATTCTCATTCATTGATGGTGGGGGTGCAAGAGAGTATAGCCACTTTGGAAAACAGTTTGGCAGGATTTTTAATAAAAAAATATAGATATTACTTAATAGCAATATGTCAATGTCAGTTTCTTAGTTTTGACAAATGTACCATGGAATTGGAAGATGTTAACAATAGGAGAAACTGGGGCCGGCCAAGTGGCTCAGCTGGTTAAGAGTTCGCTCAAGAGTGCAAGCTCTGAGCAACAGCAGTTCGATTCCTGGCCCAAGCTGTGCTGCCACTGAACTGCCAACAGGTGGCAGGATGGCTCAGCTAAAAAAACCAAAAAACAATAGGAGAAACAGGCTAAGAGGAATATTGGAACTCTATGTATTACCTTTACAACTTTTTCTGTAAATATAAAATTGTTCCAAAATAAAAAGGTTGTTAAATTTTCCTTAAAAATGAAAGGAACAGGACTTTCACTTCCATCCATGATGGAGTAATAGGGACCAGATTTATCCGACTGCTATAAAAGCAACAAGAAAATTAAATGGAATATACCTGGGATGCCAAAAAAATGTATATAAGTGGACACTTTGGTTAGCGTTGCTCAAGTAGTAGTTTGCCGTCATCAGAAGTGTCTGGACGCTGATGGGAACCACTTTGAGCACCTCTTGTAATTGCAGAAGTCAAACGTGACTTGTATTCATCTTTTGTTATCGGTATATATTGAGTATTACAATTTTAATACAGTTTTCCTTTCTTAAAAAGTGTATACATTTTTTTTTTTTGGCACCCTCTGTATAAAACAATTCTTTTCAAATACTGACAACACCCACCAGGACTACATTCCCTGAAAGAAAGGAAACAAGTGAGGTGAGCCATACAATCGCCCTAGCTTTCTGCCTGGAGGCAGACTGTGGACTATGGAGCAGAAATTGAAGTCTCACCAAGTTATGGAGACGCATATCAGAGTCTAGGGAAGTTGTGGGGTGGAGTCCTGGAGGAGAGATTGCTACCAAAAAAACCCTCCAAAAATTTAAATAAGGGATTATTTGATCTTAGCTGAATTCTAAAATGTAGGCAAAAAGCAACAGAAAAACTCTCAGCTAAATGATCCACAGAGCTCACTAGAAGGCATTCAAGTTCTGAGCAGCAAGTGTACTAGGCCCTTGACGATCACTGGGGCATCCAAGAGGGGTCCTAGAAAGGCAGGCCTTTGTAATGGGGTTAAACCACCCCTAAAGGAGAGGTTCCTCACTCTAGACCTAACAAAGTATAAAGTCAAGCCATACATCAAACTAAACTGCAAATACCCATGTGCTAGAACAAAGCCCAACAAAAAGAAAGACAACAAAGACTAGACACTCAACAATGTAAAATTTATAAGGTCCAGCATCCAAAAAAGTATTAGACATGCTGGGCGGCAGGTTAGCTCAGGTGGTTAGAGTGCAGGCTCTTAACATCAAGGTTGCTGGTTCAATTCCCACAACTGCGCCCTCCACAACTAGACTGAAACAACTACTTGACTTGGAGCTGATGGGTCCTGGAAAAACACACTGTTCCCCAGTAAAGTTTAAAAAAAAAATTAAAGAAAAAAAAAAGTATTAGACATGCCAAGAATCAGGAAAATGTGACCAACAACCAGAATAAAAACAAGGATATACATATAGACCCTGTATGGCAGAGATGGCGGGATTCGCAAACAAGGACATAAAAGCAGCTATACTAAACATATTTAGGCATTTAAAGGTAAATACGAACATTGTGAGAGAAATGGCAAGGTGTAAAGAATGAAACAGAACTTCGACAGGTGTAAAATGTAACCAACAAAGTGAGAAACTTTACTGGGCGGGATTCATAGCAGACTAGACACTGAAAAAGAAAATGTTACTGACCCTGAAGACAGAGAAATACAATTTGTCTGAACTGAAGACACAGAGATACTTAAAGCTGATGCACTAAAAAAACAAAGGTGTAAACATATTATTTAGCATTGTGGAGATAATCATCAAAAGAACTAAACAAACGAAGCACGAAAGATACGGGAAGGAAGCTTTTACTCTATATTCTAATCTTTTATACAGTCTGACTGTTTCTATCAAGTAGTACATAGCAGTAACAATAATAGTAAAATTTCCCAATTACATGGACTATTCAAAAGGATTCTGTGACGAAGATGCTGTGCCCAGAAAAAATGTACCTTTCACCATTCATCTCCACTACCTTGAGGTGAGATATTTAAAACACAGATTTAAATGGTAAAATACTTTAAAATACTTTTGGGTTTGTTAGAACCACAGGTCTACCTGTGCAAGCACTATGATCATGATAGCAAAAATAAATACATTAAAATCATATTTCCTTTTGTTTCAAATAACTTAAAATTATTTTCACTCATATTAAAAAAAAAAAGAGAGTTTGAATAAACACACTCACAGTTCCACAAGGTTTGGAAGCTTCTGAGCAAGGTTTTCTGGCTGAAAAGTAAAAACTCAGAATTAAATTTTATTTTTGAAAAATGTATAAACATCTCTAAGTAGCTTCAACACAAAGTACTGTCTTTTTGAGGGCTGTACATTTTGAGAAAATATGAAAATAATAAGTCAGCAGGTCAGGATTTATGCTTACATAGACCATACTATTATTTAAACTTAGGAATTTGAACACTTCAAATCAATGTCCCCTGAAGAAACCAGAAACCTTGTATTCCATGGTCATGGAAGAAATAAGAATGCTCTTACCAGGCCCAGACAGAGGGACTAACGCCATGTGACATCAGAGCCAGAGATTGGAGGACACAGCTGCAAAGCCAGGAAATACACTGGCCACCCCCAGAGGCTAGGAGAAAGCATAGGTTCTCCCTCAGAGCCCTGAGAAGGAACCAGGCCCTGCCCACACCCTGAATTGGAACTACAGCCTCCCAAACCGCGACAGAATACATTTCTGTTGTTTTAAGCCACTCAGCATGTCATTGGTTATAGCAACCCTAGGAGACTGTACCACTCCCACCAATTCCCAGACTGAGCTCTTCAGAAGAAAGTAAGGGAAACAAATCCTCAGGGGGCAGAAAGCAAGATCTAACTAAGCTCAGAAGAAAGACCGCAAGCTGGAGCAGTGGTCCACGGGAGGGTCAGACGGGGCCACAGGTCCTAGGTTGGAGTTTGGGGTAGTAGTGTGGTCTGGCAGGGACAGGAAACAGGTCAGCACGAGGGGAGGGAGGGAGCTGGGTCTAAGTCCCGCACACAGTCAGAGCCCTGGAAAGACTAGCTCTTCCATGAAAAGAAACCCAGAAAAATTCCACTCAGCGATTGAGAGCAGGCTTCTCTCTGCTGGAAACACTGAGAAAGAGGAAAGGGCTCCTGTAAATAATAACTTTAGTGGGTTCAAATTTACAGGAACACAAAGGCATGAGACTGAAGGAGCACACTGAGTCAGGAGTAATTTAAAACAAAATTCTGCATTCAAATGCAGGGTAAGTTACATACCAACAACAAAGAATCAGGAATGTTTTTATAAATAAGAAATTAGGTCTGATCTGAGTCCTAAGAGACAAACAAATTATCAGAGGTTGCCTTGGAGCTCGGAGGCTAGTTCTAGTTAGCTTTCTAGACACAGG